TCCGGATTCAGATCCCGTTGCACTTATTTCAAAGCTATCAGCATCTTCTCCTAATATAACGATCTCATCGTTAGCTCCGCACTGCTGTGGGAGGCGCTCCGAAGTCCCTGACATCAAATCCCGAGGAAGCTCATTGGGTAGTTATCATAGGCCGGCCTCATCGAGGGATCAATTATCAACCCGTCCCGCGTCTAGAGAATGTACCAGAGTCCTACCCTGCAGTTTTTCTTCCTGTTGGCAGTCTTGTCTACTTAACAACTTAGTACCATTGGGCCCCCCGGGCCCCGGGCCAGGCCGCGTGGCAGCGGCGTGCCCGGCGGGATCTTGAGGCGGAGGAAGAAGAGAAGGAGGAGGAGGGGGAGTACAAGCAGGATGATGATGATGATGATGATGATGATGATGATGATGATGATGATGATGATGATGATGATGATGATGATGATGATGATGATGATGATGGAGATGATGGAGATGATGGAGATGATGATGATGATGATAAGGACGAGGAGGACAGGAGAGGGAGGAGCACGAGAATTTCAAGGAGGAGGCGAATGAGTCTTTTGCAGGGCGGCAGATATTCTCCGCAAACTTTTGTCGGAGGAAGGAGATGATAAGACATTGGAGATTCGCCACCTTTACCTGTATGCCAACTTGTCGCAGGGGATTTGGAAGGTGAAATGGGGCGGAGCGGAGATGAGATGAGATGAGATGAGATGAGATGAGATGGGATGAGATGAGATGAGATGGGATGAGATGGGATGAGATGAGATGAGATGAGATGAGATGAGATGAGATGAGAGGACTGCAAGAATAGGGATGGACAGGACAGGAACGATCTTGGGGTCCACAAGAGAGGAGGAAGAGGCAGGATCACAAATGGCAGACAGGAGGCAAGGACCTGACTTTCTCCTCAGAACAGAGACGCATCCTTGCAAGCGATCATCGAGAGCTCCCTCCGTCGCGCTGCAAGCAACATGACGTCAGCGATCCGCGCGGATATGATGCAGGTAATGTTGTAGATGAGAGGCAACATGCATGCATGATGGAAGATGAGATGTAGATGCAAGACACCCTCCTCCTCCTCCTCCTCCTCCTCTTCCTCTTTCCCTTCCTCCTTCCTCCCCTCCTCCTCCTTCGCTTCAAACGTGACTTCTACACACTCTCCCTGATTTCATGACACTAACCAGAGAGCAGAAAACTCACATGGACGCGGATATCGCCAAGAAGCTGCTGGAATCGCATGCCAAGCATCAGCTCTCTTTACCTCACCTCAAGCATGGTCAGCACAAACATCACACTGCTCCTCGTGCTCGTGCTCGTGCTCGTGCTCGTGCTCGTGCTCGTGCTCGTGCTCGTCCTCCTCCACTGACATCTCTGATTCAGCTCAGCCATACAAACATCAGGAGCTTGGAGCTATTCTGTTTTCCTCGCAGAAGCAACTCAGGGTGGGATACGTGCTATCGACCTCTCGAGAGAACAAAATACTGCAGGTGCGTCAAGTTTACTGATCGCCTGGTAACGTGATGCTTGTTCTTCTTGTCTTGCTCGCCGACAGTTGCTCCATCTCTTCTCGGAGCACAAGAGGCGAGGAAAGCTCCAATCCTTCTACATCCCACTCCTTTCTACTGGCAGCCAGTTCGATGCCATGGTAGGCTCAGAAGATCTCCTCCTGCTCTCTCGTTCTTTTTCCTTCTGCCTAGTCCTCGTCCTCGTCCTCGTCCTCGTCCTCGTCCGCGTCCTCGTCCCCGTCCCCGTCCTCGTCCCCGTCCCCTTCACCGTCCTCGTCCTCGTCCTCGTCCTCGTCCTTGTCCTCGTCCTCGTCCTCGTCCTCTTCCTTTCCTTGTTC